TGGTGGAAAGGGAATCCGGTATGACCCCTACGGCGAGGTGGGATCAAATATAAAATTGTGTATTTCAAATAGGTGTATGAAAACCCATGCACGTCTTTCTTTGGCGTTGTGAGAGACGAAACTATGGCCGCGGTGTCCCACAGCACCAACCGTGCACGCTTTTCTCTAGCATGGCAGAAGGCCCAGACTCCTGAAATTTCCCCTAAATAGGGGAGATGCCGGGAGGTTGTCAACATTTTGTCTAAAAAAGATAAAGACTTGAACTCAAAAAAGGACATCAGGGGACTTAAAGAATTTAAATTTGAGCATATGATGAACTCAAACAAACATGAACTTAATTTGAATTTGAGCATAATTAAGATGAGTAAACAACAAGGAATTTGGATTCAAAATGGGCGAGATCTTAAGTGAATTTGAACATAAAGCGGATTTGACATGAACTTAGACTCGAAATTGAGCTGGATTTGAACTCAAATAAAATAAATTGAATATTAAACTCATGTTTGCTTTGGACAATAAAAGACTTAGGTTAAAATCTCAATGAATATAATTTGTTCATAATCAAATGAAAGACTTATGTGGAATCATCATGCATATTGCAAACAACATGTAGAGACAAGAAGTTCATAATTATAACATGTCTACAAGCAATGAACAATCATAAAGATGTGTGATCTAGTCACAAGTGGAGGCACAAGGATATTCCATTGAACATTGCAGCTCATATGTAAGGCGACTAACATACAAGTGATGATGAAACTCAAGCATTTGAGTGGTTTAGAATAATTGCGATGGTTCAAAGACATGAAAACACCAATCCTCTTGCAAGCAACAATAGTGGATGAGTTGTAAGTGTGAAGAATTCATTTGTATATGTAAAAAGGGGAATTGTCATGCATATTATGTTCTATCTATGAATAAAATGCAAACATCCTTCAGTGACAATGGATGACTCACCAAATATATAAGGGTTTGCATACAAATCAAAGTAGCAAATTCATGATGAATATGGCTTATGCACAAACAGAAAGGCAATTAACTAGCAATGCATGCGATGATGTGACTATACCAACCTCCAAATTAATATCATGCAAGTCATATAAAAATGATAGTGGCCGATGCACAAGTCCCTCACAGATGAAGGAAGTTGATATGTAACGAGCATTATGATATCTCGCTAGCCAACATTTACAAGCAGTAGAGGGATTCAACATACGATAAATCGTTGATGAAAGGTGTATTCGAAAGGTCAAAGCAAAAACATAATTTTCATGCAACCAACGTCACTTGATTTTGATGTGTATGGAATTTACAAGAGTCATGCAAGAGGATGTGAAAGTCCCTTACAATCAATATCAACTACTCGTGGAAGAATGTAACAATTCTCTGTGAACAATGAGGGCTAACATATAATGGTTATGATGATTCCTTTATATGAATGCATCATACTGTCCACAATCAATAAAGACAAGTATATAATAATAACTCTAGCCCCTCCTACAAGCAAAGGTGGATAATAGGTTACATATGCAAGCTCCCACGAACTGCTACAAAAGCTCGACAGAAGCAGATGGTTTGTAGCAAATTTAAATACCTACGAACCATCGTAGGAAGCCTATCATGTAAAGTATTATCTATGAGCCATCGCAGAAGCTCATGATGAATGCAACATCAACAAACAAAAGCGTGAGATTCGTTAGTGCAGTACAATCCACCTGCAGAAAGTAACAAGTAATGCATAACAGTCTACCTGTACAAAGCGAGCATATAACCCTAGTATGACGCCACGCCAACGGATCCTCAATATGCATACAAGAGGACAGAAGGCGTGTACGAGCTTCCAAGTAGAGCGTTGCATTCAAATGACGGTTTCCCTCTCGACTGATCAATGTTAAATATTCTAAAAATATTCTCGCACATGCACCATAATTTGTATACACATAGGTACACAAAAGAGGTAAATGTAAAAAAAAACCTGCATGGGCCCCGACGAGCATGTTGTAAGAACACACGTGACGTCTTGGGATGCTGCGCGGGTCAATAAATGAACGTAGTTCGAGCCCGATCCTTCTATATGGATAGATAAGAGTTGACACAGCTCAAATTATCAAATAGATATACGGTCAGGGTGTTGATCGAAATATCTATTTTACACGTTCATATAAGGCTTTCAAGGCCTCCAACAAAGAAAATTTATTAACAAAAGTATAAAGCCTACAAAAACATGATCCCCCTATCAGTAAGTTGATAGGGTCGACAAGATTTAATCAATGGAAATGACCCCACACACCTCGATGATGACTGTATTGAATGTTTATCTCAACCGGAAGTGTTCACAAATACTTTCAAGTGCCTCCCAAATTACCAAATGCTCATCAAAACTCCAAAACTACACAAAAATTCCCAAAATTCCAGCAGTCCCAAACTCTAAATATTTAAAATTAAAACTCAATCATCGAACACTTAAAGCACAAAATTCATCCACCCTCTGCAATAATTTGTCGATGTGGACAAATTGAAATTTACTTTTGCTCACATAGAGCTAATGCATAGTCGAAAATATCACTAAGATCTATTCTCAAATAATCTTTTGCCAGTAAAGACGTGGTACGTGTCCTCTAACGGGCAGTTTTACCGCCAAATAGCACCGCAGGATAAACGGTTATGACCCAGGGCCCTCTGAACCGAGTGGTTCTGCTGACAAATGACACCACAGATAGCGATTATGGTCATAGTCAATACGTTCCTTAGTGGCATCAAATCCTTGAGATATGAATCAATATGGTATAATCGATAAGGCACAAAGCCCTCTGTAAGCTAAGGTGGATTCAAATTTGTCCCATTAGGAAAATATCCACCTTAGGTCTACAAGGTACCCTTGGACGAAGAAACCCAGGGCTGTCAACAAGGATCCTTCTATCAGGTTGGGTCGACTACCTCCACTAACTAAGTAGACCAGGGACCATGATGGCCCGGGACGACGGAACCATGGGATCTTGATCGGGCCCATCATCCATTCCCCCACAATCCACTTTAATTATAGGATGGTGAAATTCTATATTTTAAATATCACACTTCCAACACCCATACCTATGCTGCTACTATATTCCAGATAACACGTATTTCTACGTACTGATTGACGACTAGCCTTAATTGAAAGTTCTCTCTCATGATTGGGAGGGGTTATTAACTATAGGGGCTTGCGCTTATAGGAAACCAGAACTCAGATCATAAAGTCCTCGCAAAATGGGGGCAAAATCTCTGGGTAGTGTTTTATCTACAAATTCATCTGCCTTCCCAAAATTCATCCCGGAACTTAACTCCCCTCGAAGAAAATCACAGTGGGCGAAGGCCAGGGCCGAATTTTCAAAGCCCACAACACTTCATCGCCTGTAAGAAAACTTCAAATGCTCTTCATGTTGCGCATCTTTTTTTTCATCAAGTTGTCCGTCTTCATGGTGTTCCTAGGAGTTACATATGACCGGGATGTTAAATTTATAAGCCATTTTTGACGTGAGCTATGGAAGCGATTGGGCACTGATTTGCGCCTTAGTTCAGCATATCACGAGCAATCGGATGGCCAAACTGAAGTGGTTAACCGCAAACTGGGTAGTATGATTCGTTGTTTAGTGCAAGACCGTCCGAGACAATGGGAAGAAATGTTGAGCACAGCAGAATTCACATTTAATTCAATGGTGAATTGCTCCACTGGTAAGTCCCCTTTCAGCATTATGTATACAAAATTACCTAACATTGTTGTGGATGTACCAGTGCTACCTAAGTGCAAATCAGGATCTACAACAAATTTTAGAAACCAATATTCAAAAATGCTAGCTAACGTTCATGAGCAGCTCAGCAAGGCAAATTCAAAATACAAAGTAGCAGCCGATCGCCACCATAGGCAGACTTTGTTCAATGTGGGTAATCTTGTTATGGTGCGTATACGGCGCGAGCGCTTCCCTCCTATAACTTATAATAAACTAAGCTGCCGCAAGATTGGTCTTGTTCTAATCATTGCCAAAATTAACGACAATGCCTATATTTTTGACTTACCAGTTGGTCACAATACCTCACCCACCTTCAACGTTTCAGACATTTGGCCTTATCATTCGCCAGATGTATCTCCAATTACAGTCAGCTCATCGGAGTCGAGCTCTTCTGATGCTGGGGAGGACTGATGCAGTGCATATAATGGAGTGTGTGGCAGAGCAGACCGCCACCACTCATGCTCCTCTCTCTGTACCAATTCAGTTATCTTAATGCTAGTATTCATTTTTGTTTGTTACACCATAATTAGCAAAACTCAATTATCTACTATTACAAAACCTGATATTATAGAAAATTTAAATAGGAGGAAAGGAATGTAGTGCAGCACTTTTTCCACTATTATCAATAGAATTTGTGTTCTGGGGCAGGACGCCTCTGTTTTCACCGAGAGGTAAACCTCTCAGTTTCTGGTTCTTATTTTTTTATCTGGAATTCCTTGCAGGTCCTAGGCGGCATCATAATGAGATTAACTCCATACCAAACATAAAAGAATTTTATGCACACCAAACAGAACCAAATTAGGTTTGATTTAGTCTAACAGATTACCAAACCTTGACTAACGCTTATCTTAAATTCTTAAGTTAATCTAATCTCAAACCAAACAGACCTTTGAACTGCTCGCCTCCTCCTTACCTAAGTTCACGCAGACAAAAACGGAGTTTTCTAAATTATCGTCATCATCAAAGGCAAAGCTAAAGTTCTTTTGCATGAACAAAGAGCTATGCGAAGAATGTCATGAAGTTCTCAAAATTGCTAGGAAACAAAGGCAACTTTTATCCAGGAATTTTCAGAAAAAATAGAAGAAGACGGACAATTTGGTTCTATTTTTTCCCTCATAGTTTGAGCTCAAAGAGAAAAAATGGAACGGTTAATCTTTTATTTGATTAATCTACCATCAAATGCAACAACCAATTAATGGCAACAATTATAAAATAAGAACAGGTTTCACTTACCTCAATTTGGGCGTATGTTTCTTCTCCGCTTGCAGGAATGGATAGCTTGTAAGTTTCATCTGTGCCAAAGTTCAACTGCATAGCAGCAAGAAATGTTGCTTGATTAGAGAATATTAGTTTCAAGCCAATTTTAGATATTTTCATAAGCCATCTTCATGCCATAAATTCTAACCTTTCTTAAATAAAAGGACAAAGCTTGCATAAGATCCCCCTTTAAGTTTAGCACGCCAATTGATTTCTTTAATGTCATTTCTAAATGGTTAGAAGCATGCCCTACAATTAATTTTTCCAACTCTCTTTTGGTTTGAAAATGTATTAATCCTCACATAATTATATTTATTTTGTTGCACATTGCAGTGGAGGAAAAGTTTATTGTCTTATCATTAAGCAAAAAGCTTTTAAACAAGCATATAAATAGACCACAATATATAACAGATGCAGGATATTTTAAATGTAACAATGGAAAGGAAAAAACTATAAGACATACCCCAATTGATAGCTTTTACTATATAGGTAGAATAGTAAGATTAAAATGGTTTGTCCTTTTCCAGAATTAGAGGTAGAATAGTAAGATTTGAAGGTAAGGTATGTCTATTATAAAGGAGGTGGAGAGTGTAGGAAGGTGGTGAATTCATTAGGTTGATGGTGGAAGACAATGAATTTTGGCATTCATCCACTGTAGTAGTGGTGTCTATGTCAAAACAAGCATCTGAAAAAATCGGTATTGGATGGTGATGAGCAACAACAATCATCGAGGGGCAGGTGAAGATGATCATTAAAAGATGGGCGATGATGCCTGTCAGCAGGCATCAATGGAAAGCAACGTCAGAAGATGGCAGTGGATGATAGCAGTTATCAGCATCAATTGGTGCTTGTCATTGGAGAATGAACGACAACTATAGTTGGTAGACAGACGGCAATAACCAACAGAGGATGGGCAAAGATGTTTGTTGTTAGTCAACATTGGATGCGGAGAATAGGTGATAGTGGTCATCCGAAAATACCGAAGTCAAATGTCAAATGCTAGAAGGTTTTCCACATGGTGATCCTCTTAGGTGAAAATCAAGCAACTAAGGAAAACATAGAAGTATAGACAAACAAATTTTCAAAGATGGTTGGTTGAGATTTCAAGCAACGATCAAAGAATTAGAATTCTCGAAGTACATAAATTTTATTCAACAAAAAACCTTACTTGAAAAAATATAAATAAGGCCTATTAATATATTTTTAAAGGGGGAACCGAGTATTTTTATAAAAAAAAAAATACCCCAAGCAATACAAAAGGAGCAACCAAATTTCCAACATTTCATAGCATTATGTTATGTCCCTTCATTAATTTGCTGGAAGAAATGTCAGCCTCAAATATAGCCTTCGCATTACTTCATCCCCTCAATCATACATGTGGTAGATCTGCAGAAACCTAACATCATAATTGCATAATTAGTTACAGTTTTTGTCCTAAACAGCTCTATCAACCAAATCCAAACTAAGTATAGGGAGTAGAGTAGGATGTCAATAGAACTCTCATTTCAATCAAGATCTTCTTGACATTGTAGCTCAGGTCGTATATCATAGCTCTGTAATGAGCAAGTCCAAGTGCGGAGTTCGGACTCCTTCCATGTTGATTTTGTGTAATATAATGGAGTGGTCAATCTGAGATTTCGTCAGCACCTAGTCCTGGGGATAGTTATCAAAACTTGAAGTGTCCATCCAGCGATCATATCAAGTTTGCCCATATGTCTGGTGCTTCTAAATGAAATAAACAATTGTTTCATGTTTTCTCATGCTTAATATAGTAGTGGAATGGCCAATTGCTATCTTAAAACTTAGTGTACTCTATATTCTCGATGGAGACATAGTGGAACAACTAGGGGGACATACCCTAAACCCATGGAACATAGAATATAATTTCTTTGGGTTTTGGAGTCTTTTAGAGAGATATAATTCATGTGGTGAAATAAATGATTAGCATAGAGTACCTTTTTCATAAATTTCATTAGAATTCCAACAAGCTCGATGGAGATAAAACAACAAAAACCATAACAAGCTAGATGGAGATGAGGAATTTAAATTTTCTATGACTCACAATTAAATTTAAATGACTAATTCTATCATAATTTCAAACAAATTATTATAAAATTAGAAAAACCCAAGTACCATTAAAGATTTTCATTTTGCAATCATATAAAACTTGCTATTGTGGTAGGATGAATTGGTGATGTATAGAAATTAATACTTAACTATTTAAAGATAAAAATCTGACTTCTCAAGGGAATGATACTCATTCATCATTATATTATTTGAGGCTTGCATAATATTGTGTAAGCAAATATTTCCTCCTAGCCAAAGGTAGGAGTAGATGACTATGAAAGGCTGAGACAGCTAAACGAAAAAAGGTTCTTAAGGTGGCTCACTGGTGGTAGTAAAAATAATCAAGAATTCTCTTGGCCTAAGTATTCTCTATTCTCTTCACAAAAAAGTCATTCACAAGTGTGCAGGAGTAGGATCTATTTATAGATTTATGAACGAAGTCTTCTAGTCATTTATATAAGAATCTTGGATATTCCATTGAGCAGTTCAAAAAGGTTTCGCTTAATCATTTACATTTTTGGGAAATCTCAATGCTTTAATGAAATTGGAATTAAATAATTTTAGACTCGTTAGATTCATCTTGTCAAGACACTCAATTCCTCTATGAGTACCCAAAATTCGAAGAATATCAACCCTTCAAATGGCTTTACAAAGCTTTTAATTAGCTTCTGAGTGCATGGTTTAAGCTCATTTTGTCATAGATCTAAACGTTTTGATATCACTGGATTTGTCTCATCGAACCATATTGTCTCTCAACAACAGAAATTTTGAATGATCTCCAAATCAATTCCAAAATTTTTTGGCTCAAATAATTGAAGTCTTTGAGAATAAAAATTGAAGTTTAAATTCATGAGTGATCAGATTAAGTTTTTTAATGAAATTGGAACTCCAACTTCCTGTCATACGCAATCAGAGGTTAATAGCCATAGCAGAGCCAAATAGAATTTTCCTTATTTGACAATTAATTAAAGCATTCTTATAAAATATAATATTTTTTTCTTTGTTGCAATGGAAAAAATATCTTGCTAATGTGTTCGGAAGGTATTCATCTACAAATATTAACTAAACATCAAAAAAAAAATCTTTTTTTTAACATCACCATCATCATCATCATCAATATTTTATAATACCTTAAAACGATTTAAAAAATTTATGCACTTCATTATTGAAAGAAAAAGTCACATTGATTTAATTATTAACAACCATTAATCCCACTCTATCCCATTAGTCCCACTTTATCTTGTCGGCAAGTGTTATTGCAGCAGCACTTCCCAGCCAAACCCAAAAGAATAATAAAAAATCACTTCATGAATGACCGTTTACGCAGCAAATGTAGAACCGTAGAAAATCATCAGCTGTCTAAAATATAAAACCATAGAACCAATGTAGTTCCAGATAAATTTCGGTATTTTGAATAATTTAATATGTTTGAGGTTCGAATAATGTAAAAACATAAACAAAACCATGCTCTCTACTTACTTAGTCATGATTGAGAAGGATTTTTTTCAAAGAAAAAAAAAATTCTTTACTAACAAAGATGATAAATCACGCCAATTTGCTCTGAGCAAGCATCAGATATTCGAAAATCACAATTTCCACCTTGTAACCCAAAACCGACGAAAAAAAAAATACCAGTTCGAAGATACCTTATCATCCTCGGAGAAAATCCGAACATGCAATCCATCAAGCACAGCAGAGCTAGGCACAATGCCATCAATTACATGAGCAACTCTGACAAGATCAACCATCCTCAAGAAGGCATCGCTCAGAATCCTGGAATCATCTGAATATTTGCTCCCTTCAGTTCTCAACTGGAAATTATTGCTCAGATAAAGAATGCCCGAACCATATCCCACTGAAGCCGGCATCGGCCACAAGTTAAGGCCATTAGCGAGAAGAGAAAACCACAACAAAAATCCCATCAGAAGGGCGGTGCGAACTACACCCATTCTCCAGCAATTACCAGCAACGAATCTGAAACGAGAAAAGTATACAGATCTAACACAATGCGGGTATAGAACACTCAAAAGAGTTGGGAAAACCAAGCTCCTAAATGAAACGCTTAGGGAAAGAACTCTCAGTAGATCTGAGAAGGAAAAAAGACAAAAATAACGCCGATAATGCCCAGGCTGCAGGGATGAGGTTTTTATTTATTTATTGTTTTGGTAAGCTAACAAGCTATGAAACGAAGATCGAGGATATATATATATATATATATATATAGCATAAAAGTAACACACAGTTGAACCTACCTGGAGACAAAAGAAGAAAAGTTCTGCCAGCCTATGCTCTCCCGCCATTAATTCCCTTAAATATTTAACTCTTACACAGAGTCAAACATAAGTAGAAAGTTGATACCAGTCAAAGAAAATAATAATAAAATGACTGCATCATATTAACCAACTAAGTCTTCGATTGAGACAGCTATTTTATTGATTTCTAAAATAAAATTTTAGTAAAAAATAAAAAAGTTATACTAAAATTTTTTTTTAGAAAGCAATAAAAAAGTCGTCCCAAACGAAGCCTAAGTCTTTATTTGGGACGACTGTCTTATTGCTTCTTTGAAGTTGTTTTCTAGTATAAAAATTTTAATTTTTGTATTAAAATGTTGTTTTAAGAAGTAATAGAAAAATTATTGAGACAACTGTTTTGTTGCTTCTTAAAGCAGCTTTTTGGTATAAAAATTTTAATTTTTGTATTAAAAAACTGCTTTAAGAAATAACAAAAAAGTCATCCCAAACTAAGCCTAAAGTTTCGTTTAAGACGACTTTTTTATTGCATATTAAAGTAGTTTTTTTAGTACAAAATTTTTAATTTTGGTATTAGAAAGCTGCTTTAAGAAGCAGTAAAAAAATTATCCCAAAAGGAAGTCTTAGGCTTCGTTTGGGACAGCTTTTTTGTTGCATTTTGAAGCAGCTTTCTAGTACAAAAAATTAATTTTTATACTAAAAAATTGCTTCGAGAATCAATAAAAAAGCTGTATCAAAGGAATACTTATTCTTTTTATTTGGTTAACCGAGCTTAGATAATGCCTTTAAATAATATTTTTAATTAATAGAAGTCGTTTTAGCCATTAAAATCAATTAATGGAATAAATGAAATGCTAAGACTTTATCTTAGAAGACGTTTTAGCCATTAAAATGAATGCTAATTGAAATGCTAATACATGATGCTTATAGAAGTTTCACGTCCAAACTTAAAGAGGAGAGCCTATGCTCACAGCCTAATTTTTAATAAATGCAATTAAAAATATATGATGAATGATTATGATCAAAATTGTCAAAATAAAATGAAAGGATTCAAATTTGTAAAATTTGACATATAAAACTTTAATATCAGATTTGCCATTACATGCCAATTTTAAAATTTAAAATAAATTAGATGCATGTGACATATTATAGAGTTTAGTTTATATTTTTTTTACTTTTAAAATACCAAAATTTGAGGATGAAGTGACAAAGTGTTATTTGCATTGTTTTTAAAAACGGATCGGACAAGCCGGTTCAATAAGGAACCGATTAGCTAGCTGATCCGATTTTTTTTTTTTTAAATCGGCTCTGCAATGAACCAGCTAAAATCAGTTCGAACCGGCGGTTCGACCGCTAAAATGATGAACCGGTCTTAGTTTTTAAGAACCGACGGTTAAATATTTTCCCTATTTCATATAATTAAAATTTTGTAAAATAAATGTAATAAATTAACTTAAATTTATTAAACTTAAAATTGAAAATAACTTTAAATTTGTTATGATAATTAATTTTTAAATAAACTCTAACAAAGCTTACTCATATGACATCACCATCCATGTAACTTATTTGCTCATTCATTTCAAAAAAAAAAAAATATATAAAGTTACAAATAATACTAACTTATAGTGTCTATATGATATGAGACTAAAGAATTACAAGGAATACATATTTATAAACATAAATTTTAATTAATTTTTTATAATTAATGTAAATAATATTTATTTCTTAATTAATCCTTTAAAGTGAACTAGTTCCTCAGAACTGGAACTTATGTACAGTCATGACACTCACTGATGTGGATCAGTTATTTAGTGAACAATCACATTTTTCCATTGAGAGATTATGACCTTCAAAGTTATAACTATAACAGTGTGACGTTGTTGACATTCGAGTGTTATGGCACCCAAGTAGCAAAAATAGCACCAAGACATGAGAAATTATAGTGTCATACCAAGCTGACTTTCTGACACTGCGGTATTGATAATGCTACGGTGTTGTCTATGTTGCCACCATAGTGCTTGTAAATAGAGAACTTAGCATCGCAATATAAGAATTAAAGTGATTTGACCATATTGAAGGAAGCGTTGCGGTATTGTTTTGTCGTACAACACGCGTTGTTGACTACATAGAATTTTTTGCCATTATTTAATTAGTTTTTATGCTAAAAAAGTAATTAAAATAACATATTTTCAGTAAAATTAGAACACATAAAATAATATGTTTCTTCTCAAGCAAATAAATAAATATATAATTATGATTAATTAGATAACTTAAGGAAAAATTGATAATTTAAAATTACTAAAATATAGGATAATATATCATGGCCTAGAAGTAGAGAAAATGAATAATGTTATAATTCTAGTTTGAAAAATACTAATAATTATGCTAACCAGTTATCCTTATAATTGCTTATTTTGAATTTACATGTTATAAATATAATCAGTAACTTTTAAACTGTGAATTGAATAATTTAGGTTAAAGATTAGATGTGTTTGCAGTTAAAATTAAAATTTCATAAGTTCATTAGCATTTGTACTAATTCTCCTATCTTATCATTTTTGAATTTAAGTATATGACTGTAATCAGACTCTAAGCTTTTATTTGATACCAACTTTTGACTATGCTCACTTTCTTTTCCTTCTTTTATTTTTTTTAAACTCTTTTCACTTTATATGGAGTACATAGTTAATGATTTTAAATATCAATTTTACTTAAAATCTTCTTACAATCAAAATAACTTTAATATAAGGATTTAATAAAATTACTAATTCCAAATTCATGTTGCTTATATTTTTTAATTTTAATATGCTCATATCTATTTTTTTACCTTAATTATTTATCTTCAATTCAAAGGTCAATATATGAATGTATAACTTATAAATTCAAATCAAGTCAACAATTTGAATGATCTAAATTAGTTAATTATTAATTTTTCCAATCAATGAATTATAAAGTAGTGCTCATTTGAACTGTGATCTAGAATTTTATTATTATCTTAATTTTATATAATTTTTATCTATCATTTGTTTAGGGTTAATTAAATAATTAGAATTTAGAGATATTAATAAAATATAATAAAAGTAAGCAAAAGGGGAATTTAATCAAATGTAAATAACAACACACATAAATATTAATAAATACACATATTTTCATATGAATGATCAAAAGGTACAAAACATATGATACACATAAAACTATAGCACAAAGTAAAAGATAACTAGTGCGTAATGCACCACTCTAACAATCACAATAAAATTACTAAAGACACAAGTGAGAAACCTCCCATAAATGCTAATTAATTTTATAGACTTCAGCTAGACTATGCAGATGATTTTATTTCAAGATGAACCAATTCAGTTATATTTCATAATTGATCAATGTCTCCACCTAAAAAAGGCTTCAATCTATGGCCATTCATTTTGAAAACATACAGGCTTTTTTTATCCTAAATTTTCGCAGTTTCATAGGGAAATGTTCTTATGAAAGTGAAAGATCATAACCATCTAGATATTAATTTTCTTGAGAAAAGCTTAAGTCTAGAACTAAAAAGTAAAGCATCTTATTTAGAAGTGAAATCTTTCTTAAGATGTTTACTATCATGTCATTTCTTAGCTTTATCCTTATAAATCTTTGCATTTTTATATGCCTAATTTCTTATTTCTTCCAATTCTCTCAATTACATTAATCTTTTTTTTTAATACCTTCAAAATTAGAATTTAATTCTTTAATAACTAGAGTACTTTGTGCTCTAGTTCCATAGGAATGTCGAAAGCTTTTTCAAAAATTAATTTATAAGTAGTCATACCAATAAGAGACTTAAAAGCCGTTTCATAGGCCTATAATGCATCATCTAATTTAATCACCCATTCCTTCCTATTAGAATTGACCATTTTTTCAAGATGCATTTGTTAATATCATCCTGACCACTAGTTTGGGGATGATAAATGGTAGCCATCCTATGATAAATCTCATATTTCTTTAGTATTATTTTTATTCTTTTATTATAGAAATGACTTTGTCCATCACTGATTAAAAGTCTTGGCATTCCTAACCTAGAGAAAATATTTTTCTTTAAAAACTTAATCACAATTTGAGCATCAATTTTAGAGGTTTCCACAACTTTAATCCACTTTGAAACATAATATTCTACAATAAGAATATATTAATTTCAATGGGATGGCACAAAAGGTCTCTTAAAATTCAATCCCCAAACATCTAATATTTATAATTCCAAAACATAGTTCAAACGTATTTCATTTCTTTTTGAAACATTTCCTACTCTCTGATATTGATCACATTTTTTAATGTATTCATTTACATCCTTGAATAGAGTAGGCAAAAAATAATTTAGGTTGAAGGATTTTTGAAGCAGTTCTAAAACCTCCAAAATGTCCCCCATAATAAGAATCATGACACTCCTTAATGATTGGCTCTTTTACTTCTTCAGGGACACATATTCTTACAATTTGATCATTGTATGATTTAAATAAGGTTCATCAAAAAAAAAAAAAATCGTATCATGTAGAAACTTTCTCTTTTGAATTTGTGATAAATCATGAGGAAGTGCATGTACCACCAATGATAAAATTAATAATATTGGCATACCAAGGTGATATGTTTAAATGAAGAGCAAATAATTACTCATTAAAAAAATTTTCATTAATCTCACCCTCATATTATGCCTGTTTTTAATAGAAAGT